ATCATATACCTAAACTCAACATGCTTAACATGTACTTGTATTCATTTTAAACATCTTTAAAATGTTAAACATTAAAATATTGACCATGATTCCATGGGGTACGTGGCTCCATAGTGCAGTGGTTTGCCCGGTTGAGTCAGGAAGGACTGCCAACCTGAAAATCTGCCAAATCAAACATATGGAGCGACCTGCTGTGGCTTAGACCTGTTCTTCGTCTGGACAAATTCAGGGAGCAACTGAAAGTAGCTTCAACTCATCAGCTGAAACTCAACCCTTTTTCTTAGCCCACCTTTGTCCCAGTCCAAAGTTGGTGCATATAGTTATCAGCGCTTTACACCCAGATATTAATGCTTAATCAGACCAAGCTGCCATGGCGACAGCGTCTTGCTGAACTACTACTGCTCAGATTTAAATGGCACACCTTGCTTTTCTGTGGCATTGTGCTTTATTTTCCTGGATTGCGGTAATATTTCCAAAAAACCTGAAATCGAGGTACATGGTGGTTGGCGGGAACGCTGTGGCCTAGATCTATTCTTCTGGACGAATTGAATTAGTGATGTGTTTGTTCTGATTATATATTACAGCATTATGCTTTATAGAGCCAGTATGTCATTTTACCACTGAGCACGCATCTGCTTTGTACTTTCTAGCATTTTTTTCATTGAATAAAGAGATTTTTTTTAAGTATGCTTTCAGCTCATATCTGCTCCTGGACTTAATAGTAAAATTAGACCTTGATGTTATTATGAGCACAGGAACAACCAGGATGTATTTTTCAGCAGTGAAAAACAAAACAGGTAGGCAGTGTGTGTATGGCCAAGACTCTTGCGACACTATGTGCACAGAGGTTAAGAAGTAGACCAGGACTTTGGGTCTTTATACATTTGTACTAATAACTGTTTTGGATCTTCCTCAGCCTTCGTGTTTGCTCCCAGACTATAATTGTTTGGACAAAGTGTGTTGAGCACAGTTCAAAAATTGCATCTAAATTAGTTTGGCATTTACGGTCCTCAGACAGCTATAATTCTTACCTTCAAATAGGTTTTGCTCATTATCACTAACATTTCACCGCTGGGAATCCTACATACCCATTTTAGAAGATGAATTAGCATTTTATTCTCCTAACACCATAATACAAGAACAAATACAGCACTCTGCGGACAGCGGAAACAGCTACAGCATAACTGCAATTAGGTCTGCCTGCTGATAAGGCAGACGCATCTCACACGTCTACCATATCTCTGAGACTTTTATGCCCTTGCTGGATATCACTGAACAGCTAAAGTTGTTTTCACTGGCATTGTGTAACCAAGGCAAGCATTAGAGGACACAGACATTTGGGTCAGCTGCAGAAGAGCAAACAATGAAAGGAAACCAGGTCAGCACAGAAATATTAGATGTTTATACAGGATTTAACTGTATTAAAAAAGTGCTTGAAGAGCAGAAAGTGTTCATAAAAGACTGAA